CGAACGCACCCCTGGGCCGTATCCGAATTGCCAAGTACATACTCAATCTTTCAGTAGGCAGTATGCAGTACGTACTATCCGTGCTGCATACTGTTAGTACCTACTATTCAGTATGCACACAGTAGGCAGATATTTGTGCCTACTTCTTCTGATTCATTCAGTATGGAAATTACGTCATTTACGTTTCTCGAACCGGCCGCATCCACCAGTTGTTTTTTTTTGTTTTTTTGTTTAGCTTTACTCAAGAAGAGTAATGCGCATATACAGTCAGGTAAACAAAAAACAATATCACAAAGTAAATCAAGTAAAAGATTAAATAACATACAGTACATAAAGAAAAATACAAATGAAAGACAGTAATATAAAGAATATAAAATAAACCAATAAAGACACATTTAAATAGTTAAATCATTATTTGAATAGAGGGGGAAAGGTTTTATAATAATGCAGATATTTGTTATATTGTCTGTTGTTAATTTAAAGAAGTGATTTCAGTCGGGACTTTAAATTAAGATTAAAAATTGATTAAATTAATCCACGCTCATTTGTTTTGATTTGGAAGCGCACGTGACGTGACGATTTACGTTTAATTTCGCACAGCATTGTGGGTGGTAAAAGACAATTAATTTCCTGAAAGCACGCATCCGATCCATACTGCATGAAACCCGGAAGTTAGTATCCATACTTTAATGTTCAGTATACTGCGCGGACTCAAAAAATGCATACTGAATGACCACGAAAGTTCAGTATACTGAAACTCCATACTGAATAGTACGTACTGCATACTGAACAGTGACAATTCGGAAAGGGCCATGGTTTCTCACGCTCTCCTCTCCCCCTTGATTGGATTGCACTCTGTCACTAATTAATTAGATTGAATTCACCTGCCCACTCCTTATTTAAGACTGCACTCCCTTGCACTCGTGTTTCTTAAGTTGTGTTTTTACCCTGGAGGGGATTTGATCATTGGGCAGAACAAGTCCATTGACTCCAGTTGGTGGGGCAGAAGCTGGGGAACAGCAGACTGTATAGGGTGGGGAAGAAAGAGGAAAGAAGGGGGAAGGAGGAAAATGAGAGAAAAAAGAGCAAGAAAGAAGAATTCTTAATGGCCCTTCTGCAAGTCAAAAGTTACTCCAAGTCATTATTTTTCATAAAATTTCAGAAATTACTCAAAATGATGAATATTTCTAGTTTTCATATGGGGGATAATAGGGGAAGATTGGATCCGAAGGACGAGGGTTCGAACCCTGCCTGGACCAAAACAAACGAAAAAGTAATTTTAAATAAGAAAACAATTATCCATATTTATGTTGAATTAAATCAATACTTGATTTTGTTTAGCATTCACAATGTGTAAGAAAGTGATATTGTGTTTGTTTGTTCATTCGCTCTCAGAAGTTAAGTGGTATTGACATAAGTCATCTAATTGTTTCAGATATAAGACTTTACTTACTAAAAAATAGCAAATATTGTTGTAATCGTAATATTTTTATATTACTGTGTCAAATTACTAAGAAATAAGTCAAATTAAAGAATTGGAGCAGAAGCACACATTTATTGAAATATTTCAATTAAAAAACATTAAAGTAAAAGGCACATTTCACATTAAAATGTAGCAGGTATCAAGTATATCCTCTGAAAATAACTAAATAACCTGATAAAAAATAATGTAAGTCAGCTTCAGATTTCTCCCTCTGGAAGCTACTCTCTACTTACCCTTTGTGAAGATGACAAATTCTCACCAGTATCACCAATTGTGGATCAATCCACCACTGAAATAAGTACAGCTAGCAGCTCTTTTAGGACATTTCCTTTAGAATAATGACACATTTGGTGTTTTAGACATGGAGCCTCAAACAGACTAAGGCCGTGTTCACACTGGACTTCTTTTATCAGAAAAAAATGCTGCTTTCAGCGCTTTTTGAGCGCTTATGCGCGAGTGTTCTGTAACCTTAACGGGTTCTAGCCTACGGTGCAACCGCGCCGGAGCACAACGCATCAATTTAGCACAGAAAAGAACTAACGGGACGGGAAGTCAGATACCGATACAACATTAAAACATCCGAATAAAACACTCCGTTTTGACGGTTCAGAAAAACAACCGTTTGTGTGTTTGTTTATAAGGTTTTTATTGAGTTTTATACCACGAACAAAGTATTATCTTGTGCTGTCGCGAGTGAATCTGTAAAATTACGGCGGAAACTCTTTGTCTTCATACTCCAGCTGTCCGGCTGTGCTCTCCGTGCTGCAGACTGAGAACGCAGCCGGTGGGTGTTGACGGATGAGGGTGCACGGAGCCGTAACAGACCGGAGCGGACACGCAATGCACACATATCTGGTGGAAGTTTGCAGTTTTTGGGCACAGGTAACTAGGGACGTAGGTTACTACTCGTCCTGATTGGTCAGCTGTCAGAAAGGCGCTTGACTTCACCCAGCGCTTTTCTGAAAAGTTGAAATAATTCAACTGCAAAAAGCGTCGGGCGCAGTGCTTTTTGAAAATGCATCATACTTTTTAATTTTTCCATAGGCTTGTATATAAAAAAAAGCGCTGGCAGTTGAAAAAAGAAGTCAAGTGTGAACACGGCCTAATGCTGTAGATTTTACTTCTCTGAACTTGAGATTTGAGGCCTGCAGCAGACTCTGTGAGTCATGACTGTCTACAATGAGTGTGACACTCCAGTCCCACTGTGGGCGATGTTTTCCTTGCAGTATCTACAGCTAGGGTCCGAAATTAACTTTCTGACTCACCGGCCAAACATATTTTTTTACCAGCACTTCAGCACTAGAAGTAAACAGGTGCGTGTTGTGACTGGCGCTCCGGTGTGTGTGTGCGTGCGTGCGTGCGTGCTTTTGCGCTGCAGTGTATGTTGGTGTGTCTCAGCGTGTCCCGCGATGCTCACAGACAGTCATGACAGCAGAGAGAGGAGCAGGGAAAAGTAGCTGCAGCTACAGCAAACGCAATAAATACTTACAGCATAGTTTCTATGACTTTTTGATAAAACATTTATCCGCACTGTGGCGGATAGCCCTCTGAAAAGTACTCGCCAAACGGAAAATCTACCCGCATTTGGCGCTTCGCGGGTGTTAATTTCGGACCCTGTCTACAGCGTATTTACATGGACGGGACGGCCGGCCGACTCATCCCCTTACATATAAAGGTTCTTTAATTCAGGGAATAGAGAAAGAAGAAAAAACTTGCTGTACTGCTTATTTGAATTCCACGTAACTGTTTTTAGATCAAAAAGTTGCATATTCTTCAATTAAACAATTTTTCATCTTTAAATTACTAAGGACAGACTAAAATGTGAAGAGACAGACTTCTCGGCCCTTTTCCTCATGTCTTCCAGCCACTGCTCCAGTGGCATCCCTGCAGAAGTGGGGCAATAAATGTAACCGTGAAATTGCCTGTGGTCTTTGTTGCAGGGCTGATGACATTTGCTGCATTTATTATGGTCCACCTGTCGATTGTAGGGCCTCTGGGAAGGGGGTGGAGAGGGAAGAGGGCCAGCAGGGGTGATAGGCCTGGGAGAGGGGACAGCAAACATTACCAACAAGGGGCTTTGGGCAGGGGTAGGGTTTACAAGGGCAGGAGCAGCTGTAGGCAGAGGTGCAGGCAGGGGAAATAACTGCCTCTGAATGGGCACCTTTGGCCGGACAGTAGCTGGAGCAGCACTGTGTGGCGCAGCATTTTTTCTTTTAAACAGCGCCTATCCTGCTGTACATTGGGGCAATTTATAGTGTGCTGCTGTTGTTCCAAGAACCTCTCAACCATGTCGCATGCGCTGTTCCACCTTGTGGCAGCATCAGTTATAAGCTTGTGATTGTTGATATTTTTCCGACTCTGCCCAGAAGCCTGGAGAGCGTGGCCACTTTAAGTGCATGGGCAAAACATTTGACATGAGGGAACTTCCCAACTTGAGTTGCAACGATCATGTTAGCCGCGTTGTCTGTCACCAGTACTATGTCTTTGTCTGACAGCTGCCATTCATCAACAACATGAGATAGTAGCTCTGCCAGATGAGCGCCCGTGTGAGATTCATACACGGCTCTTGTTTGCAACACGAGACAAAATCTGCCAGTCCTCACTTATGTAATGTGCCCTAACTGTTAAATAGGACTCCGTCACGACAGAAGTCCATGAATCACATGTTATGGCTACACGACTAGCCTGGCTCATTGACGCTATTATCTTAGCTTTGGTGTCGTTGTACAGTGCAGGTATAACATTTTCTGTGAAGTGGCTGCGTGATGGTAGCTTATACCGTGGCTCCAAAGTCTATACCATGTGGCGAAACCCTGGGTTCTCCATGACCGAAAAAGGCCGTAGATCCTTCGCTATGAAAGCGACCACAACTATCTTTGGTTGGGCTTGGTCCGCTATTCCAGTAGCAGTACCAGGCATTAGCTTCTCTGGGTGGAAACGGCTAACGTGGTTTCTCAGATTGGTGTTATTTCCATGGTATTTGACTTTTTGAGCGACATATCTTACACACAGCGTGTGTCTTGTCAAGTTCGTGCTTTCCAGTGAGTTCGTAAAATCCGTAATGAGCCCAGATGTCCGCTTTCAACATACCAGGAGCGTTTTTTTATTGGCTGCTTTTGAATTTGGCCACTCTCCGCCATGTTCCTTGTTTTTTTGCTATTGCTTTTTGCAGTAATTTGTCCCTTCAGTGTTACCGTCGGCTGCCATAAAGCTGTTGCAGTTGTGATCTAGCTCGCTACGCTTGTGTCTATGGAATAAAGACGAGGCCTGCCAAGTTTAACGTTAATTATATTAACGTTAATATTATATTATATAATAATAATAATAATCGATTACGTCCCCTCACTGCATCGATGCAGAATCGTTCATGTCTGCATCGCGATGCATCGGAAAAATTATTATTTTCAATAGCCCTACTCTGAGTTAGCTGTTAAACTTTATTATCAAACTCACTCAGTAATGATATCTAAAAGGTATGAAATAAAAACATTAATTATGATGGGAAAGTCACACACACCAGTATACACTGCAGGGGGTTGGAAGGAGGGGGCAAGTTTCCTTCCAAGCCCTTTGACACTGAAGGTGTTGACACAGCGCAAAAGGTTCCCTGAGTAGGTGAGGAGTGAGGGAGGTTTGACAGCCAGCGCCGCAGCACCACGGTCCTGGTTCCACCTGTTCAGGCCTTCCAGGAGGTACAGCTGAAAATTCAGACTGTTGGCACTCGTTCCTTAAAATAAAAACAACATATTTTAAATTCATACAGGGAGCTATTTGTACAATGTCAGGTTACAATGTTTTATGCTAAATACTTTGTCAAAGAGCTAGGTTATACTTATTTGAAACTGACCTGGAATGAACCTGGCCAGGTGGCAGTGGAAGGACTCCAGTGACGTTGAGCCCCTGGCACACCTGTAGGTGGTGAGGATGATGCCCTCCTTGGTGGATGATCCTGTCACTGTGTAGAGAGGAACACTTCGCTCATCCTGGATGCACTTGGCATGCTTCTTCTCCTGTTCCCAGATGTTCGCCATCCTATCCCTGTCCAGGAGTGGCACACCAAGGAAGTCACTGCCCTTCTCCCCCATAAGCTTGTGCAAAAGGAGGTCAATCATTGAGATCTCCTTCTCTCCTCTTGTCCTCCTTCTGCAGTAGAGTGCCAACTCACTCTTCCTAATGTTCTGGTTCACAAGGTCATCAATGATGCCAGGAACCCCCTCCCGTTTCCGCTGCTCCTTCTTGACCCGGCGCAGCAAGGCGACATCACCTGCATCCCACTCAAATATGCAGCAGGACAGACGAGCCATGAAGATGGGGGTAAAGGGGATGGGCATCCTTGGTGCATCCTGATGCCAACCGGCGCATGAAATGGTAAATGTCCAGCTTGGCCACAACATCTGGCCATCCACCAAATCGGGCTTTTAGCTTGGTCTCCTCCCCATCCTTCTTACAGCATCCACAGTCCACATACAGAATTAAGATTTACCATAGCCAAATTCAAAGCAGGCCTTTTAGGACTCTGCACAAGTCCAGCAGATGCTGATGGAGAGCAGGAGGCAGCAGCAGTGCTTGAAGGGCCTTGCCCTTGACCAGTGCCAATAGTGGTACGAGGAAATGGGGTGACAGGGACTGAGCTGGAAGGCTAAAGATGTACAGAAACTTTTGAAGTAATTTCAAGCAAACGACACAACAACAAAAATGTGCACACAACAATTTGATGTCAAGTTTAAAAAAACCTTCTTAGTGTGGAAACCACAGCCACATGTTTGTGGGGGTAAATTCCACTCATTCTCTGGTTCCCGCTCAGTTTTTCTGTTATTCAGTTGTGGCTATTATGAAATCTATTGATAAACACAATTATTTTCATTTAGCTTAGCACAACAAAACTCTGCATTATGTTTTACTAATACATCTGCTTTTCGCATTAAGCTCGTTAAATAGGGCGATTCTATTTATTTATAACTAAGTTAGTTATATAGAATTAGAATGAGTATTCTGTTTTAGATGAAGTGGCCCGATGCAGGACTCAGCCTGAAGCCAATCTCTCCCATCTAAAGATAGCTATGGATGATGATGATACAAACATAACTTGCACGTCTCTGACTCTGGCAGCAACCATCATTTTAGTGAATGAAGATATCCTCTGTGTTAACCAAGGTGACTGGCCGGCTTTTTACCGTCAAGTTATTCAACACTGTCGAATTAACGCTAAACTTGGATGACAAAGTTCTTTAACTAGCTAGCGATCGTTTACCCTGTATATATTCAGTCAAACTAACCACAATGAACAATCTAAGTACGGGAAAATAATATATTTTGAATGACAAGAATTTAATTGATGACAGTTTACCTTGAGAGATGAAGTGGAGATTTGTCAGCAACAGCATTGCCTGCTACAAACCTGGGGCGTGCATCACTGTGGACAAGCAGCTGTTCCCCACCAAAGCACGGTGCCGCTTTACACTATATATATGGCGAATAAGCCAGACAAATTTGACATTAAGTTCTGGTTAGCTGCAGATGTGGAGACCAAATACTTTTTGAATGTTTTCCCATACCTCGGCAAAGACGACACGAGACCAGCTCATCAACGTCTGGGAGAGAGTGTGGTGATGAAGCTGGTGGTGTTACGTTTGAGTTTAAGGGTTTGGACCCCATAATGCAGAACACGGAAACAAAAGTCAGTCTTTAAGACGTTTTAATTAAATTGTAGCAAAATAAAAGGCTTAAGGCAGTTGGTGGCAATAGAGGACGGGCTGGTGTAGGAGAACTCAAAAAACAGCAAGGCCAAACAGAAATCCAAAGCAAGGAGGTGAGGCTCGATCTGTCTTTCAGGCCTGATTGATAACCTGATGAGATTCAGGTGCTCCTCGTTCCAGCTCAGCCAGTCACACCCTCCACTGCACACACACTGCAAGAGAAAAAAACAGAAAACAGAAGGAAGGAAAACAAACACTCGCAACAGCATGAGATAATACCATGTATGTGGTATAAAACTCGATATAAACAAACACACCAACGGTCATTTTTCTGAACCGTCAAAATGAAGTGTTTCATTTTGAAAATTAACCAGATGTTTTAATGTTGTATCTGTGTTTGACTTCCCGTCCCGCTTGTTCTTTTCTGTGCTAAATTGATGAGTCGGGCTTCGGCATCCGGCAAAAATAGAAGTCCAGCGTATCTGCTGCCGAGGGCAATGGACTGCCACAGCACAGCGGACCCAGTGGAAGCACACACATTAAATAAAATGAAAACCTCACGGACGGGCCCCGCGTCTGGTGGTAGTTGGCCATTAGGTGCCGCGGCATATGTTCATCTGTTTGTTTGTTCACCACTGCAACTGTTACGGAGTTCTGCAGTTACTTTTGTATATAGTTTGTCATGCCCATAGACAGCCTTGTTGTTTTTTGCCAGTGTTTTCAATACGACCTGCATTGTGGCGACAACCTGTTCATTCATTCGTGCATGTGGCGTGTGTGTGTTCAATGATTTTCTGTGTCAGGGAAACAAACCCAGTTGCAGAGAGGAGGACAAGCATCAATAAAAAGAAGTTTCCTCTCATTATTTTGGTGTCTCTTTTTTTGCAGTGTTTTTATCAAATTGCATAGCAATTAGAATTCAAATGATAAAGCTAATTTGAAAATTAAAATCCATTAACAGAAATGCTTTTTAATTTTCAGAATATGGGTGAAGTCTGACGTCACTTTCCTGCACCGTCCACTTTGCCATTTAATTTTCTGGGTTGGTTTGAATTATGATCACTTTTTAGCACAAGTTTGAAAAAGAAAAGCCAAAGCCCTTTTCGTTTTCATTTGAATTATGTCATACAATATGCATACATAGAGAGCAAAAGTATAATGCAAATTGGATGACTGAATGTTAATTTTGAATATAGGTCAAATAAAGCACCTATATTCTGAAAATTAAAATGTGTTTCTGTTACTGCATTTTCATTTTAAAATGAGCTTTTTCATTTGAATTATGACTTAAATTTAGATGGGAATTTTTTGAAAATGAAAAGGCAGCAAATGTAATTTTCTTCACTTTAATTTAGTTTTTGAAGATGAAAACTAAAATTCAAATTAGATAAATTAGTCATCATTTTTGTTTTTGAGTCAAATAATACACTCATTCTGAAAATTAAAAAGAATTTCTGTTAATGTGTTTTAATTTACAAATTAGCTTTATCATTTGAATTCTGATCACTAATCGCTTCCATATAATATAGCCAACAATATAATAGACTAAAAGTTTTTGATTTTTTGATTATTGTAGAATGTGTTTTAGCAGCAGTAGTAAAAAACGGTGCACTAAAAAAACCTACAAATATTGTAAAATGAAATGAGACATTTAGAAGGTTACCAATCCTGCCTTATGGTGTGATATATGGTTTGTACGTAAAAGTATGTTCTATTTATCATTATTTCTCGTGACTTCCTCAAAAAAATGCATATTCTGATAGCCCAGGTTGTCCTGAAAAAAAACTGCATTACAGGGTTGAGGTTATACAAGCATTATTACACACAGAGACCAGACAAATCAATAATAGGGGATAAAAAGGGCTTTTTAATGTTAACAATATTTGTTGCTTTATCTTTCATCACACATGCTATTATCAAGTTATTAATTAGCTGTTACCTTACCTTCCTGATGGCAAATACAAGCAATATTGACAGCTGTCTGTTTTCTAGTACTTTTAAAGTTGTGGTCGGTGACAGTGTGTGTCAGTCAGGACTGGGTTTAGTTACATTTCAAATCATTATGTTATCCCTTAAGATTTCTTAATAGGTTGGAAATGACACTGTTCTTATGCCAACATTTTTTCAGTACTTTCATTTGCAATAAAATGTAGGCCTACCACTGAATTAAATGAATTGAATGTTAATTTTTTTCGTCCCTGTAGCCACCTTCAAAACACCAATTTACATGAACCCTGTGCCTTAGAAATGTGCAGAAAAAGTCAACACTGCAAAATGACAGTGTGTTTGTACTGACTGCCTTCCCTCCCTTTTATAGTAAATGCATGGTATATTGAGAGAACACCACGGGAGCGAGGGCATGCTTTCCTGGAAACAGAAGTGCTCCAGAAATTCCTTAAGAAAGATTGGTACGTCAACTTCAGAATGCCCAAAGAGGCCATCAATATCCTTTGTGACCAGCTGCGCCCATACGTCAACCCCCAAACTACAAACATGTTGGATCCAGTACCTTTAGAGAAGAGGGTTGCAGTTACCATCTACAAGCTTGCAAGTAATATAATGTTGAACTCCAGGATGTCGCAAACCTGTTTGGTATTGGAGCCAGCACAGCCTGTAACATCTTCTGGGAGGTGTGTGAGACACTAAGCAAACTCAGGAGGGTTTTTGTGAAGAGGCCAAAAACTGTCCCAGAAGTCCAAGCCATCATAACAGGTTATGAGAAGAAGACGGGATTCCCCATGTGTGCTGGCACACACATCCCTGTCATTGCCCCAGTGAGATATCCTATCTACTACTATAAATAGAAAAGGATAGTACAGTGTTCTACTTCAAGTAGGCCTGGGCGTCACGTAATTCGTCATATTCTGACAATAAAGTATTATACCATTATACCATAATTAACCATCTGATTTCTTCAACTTTCACTCAAGAGCAAAATCAGCTTTTAAATTTGAAAGAAAAAATGACTTTACATCTACATATAAATTAATAATACAGTATAGCCATTGGTGTAGTGGTGCCTGGAAAACTGAGTATACTCTTAATTTATGCCCCTTTTTTTAAGCGGTCTGTCTAGAAAAGCATAAACGCAATGTGTTATAAACAGTGAAATTAAAGATATGAAAATATGTGCAGATGGGAAGATGGTTTTATTCTTAAAGAAGAGCAGCGACTTGGCTGCTCTTCAGTGGCTTTACTGTTATTCTCTGGGTGTAACTGCCAACTTATTTATGAAAAATGTACAATATATGTTGTTGCACTTACAACACTCAGATTCATCTTCTGAAATCCCCCTGTTATCCATCCTGATGTCTCCTGGATTGTTCAGAGGTTGGCAACATCAAAACATAATTGAAAACAAAAGTAAAGCTATGTACTCTGCTACAGATCAACAAGTTGCATTTCCATACACGTTAGTGAAATTGCTAACAAACTACTTGCTAGCTAGCTGACCAGCGTGACCAGACAACATTTTATGGCTACTACTGTAACTTAGGTTAGGTAACGTTAGACTGGATGTGTCAATGAATTTGACCTAGAACAGCGTCCACTTCATCAAAATAGGGACACTTAATGGGGTCTGAGCTGGTCTTCTTATTGTTTCTGAGGCTATCACGGTACTTTCTTCGCAGGTA